CATGCATGCTTCACACCGCCGGCTTGAGTGGGGGCTCCAGCTGCTCCCGTGTGAGCTGCGCTGCAGCAGCGCAGCAGCAGACAGACCGCAGCGTGTTGCTGCGCGACCACCGCGACTAGCAGCAGCAGCAGCAGCAGCAGCAGCAGCTGCTGCTGCTGCTGCTGCTGCTGCTGTTGTTGTTGCTTCAGATGCTTCTCCTGACACTGAAACGCCTGACTCTACTCCTGAGGCTTCTGCACTTCTTGCTGCTTCCTCTTCTGCTGCTGCTGCTCCTGTTGCTGCTGCTGCTGCTGCTGCTGCTGCTGCTGCTGCTGAGGTGTGTGTTTGGGGTTTGTCTGCATCGCCGTTTGTGTGTGTTTCTTTTTGTTTTTGTTTTTTTGTTTCTGCTGCTTCTCTTCTGTGCTGCAGATATTTCAGCTTGAATGTACGCCCCGCCTCCTCTACTAGCTGGCGAGCGCAGCACGCAGAACTGCTGCTGCTGCTGCTGCTGCTGCTGCTGCTGTTGTGTGTGTTGCTGCTGCTGCTGCTGCTGCTGGTTGATAGCTCTTCGTCTCCTTCTGCTGCTGCTGCGTCGCTGCATGCAGCAGCAGCTTCAAGCGGAAGTTCAGCAGAACTGACACACAAGTCAATCTGAGAGACGCTGGTTGCTGCTGCTGTTGCTGCTGCTGCTGCTGCTGCTGGTGCTGCTGCTGCTGTTGCTGCTGCTGTTTCTACAGCAGCAGCACATGGGCTGCTCTTGTCTTGTGCTGCTGCCACCCCCCCATTCTGCTCCTGCGAGGCCCTACAAGGGGACCCTGCTGCTGCTGCTGCTGCTTCTGCTGCTGCTGCTGCTGCTTCTGCTGCTGCTGCTGCTGCTGCTGCTGTTTCTGCTTTTTCTACTGCTGCTGCTGTTGCTGGGGGTTCAGGGGGCGGCATCGTTCTGGGGCTGGGCGTAGAGGGTGCTGGCGCAGCAGAGAGAAAGCTGCTGCTGCTGCTGCTGTGCTGCTGCAGTTCTGCTGCAGCAGCAGCAGCACAAGAAGAACTGCCCCTGTCTATGGGGCGCGGCGTCTGTACACCTGAGCTGCATGCGCTGCTGAATGCTCCCATTTCAGGTGTACGCGGAGCTTCGTGTGCAGCAGCAGCAGCAGCAGCAGCTGCTGCTGCTGCAACAGCTGCTGCTGCGCTGTCTGCGGGGGTAGAGGGGGGGGGCCCCTCGGGGGGGCCCACAGCACTCAACGCGATGCTCTGCTGCTGCATACACTCTGCTGCTGCTTCTCCTGTTTTTTCTCCTGCTGCTGCTGCTTCTGCTTCTGCTGCTGATCCTGTTGCAGCTGCTGCTTCTGCTGCAGCTGCTGCTTCTGCTGCAGGTGTTGATCGTGCTGCTGCTGCTGCTGCTGCTGCTGGTAAGGCATCAGTTTGTTTACGCCCGCTGACTTGTGCTGAAGCTGAGTCCAGCGCCTGTTTTATAGGTTCCGTTTGCTGCTGCTGCAGTTCATGCTGCTGCTGCAGTTGCTGCTGCTGCAGTTGCTGTTTTTGCAGTTGCTGCTGCTGCTGCTGCTGCTGCTGCTGCTGCTGCGTTTGTTGATGCTGCGGCTCTTTGTCTTCTTCGCTCGGGTTTTGATTCCCTTCGATTTGTTGCAGATGCTGCTGCTGCTGCTGCTGCAGTTCGTGCTCCTGCTGCTGTTCCCGTTGCTGCTGCTGCTGCTGCTGCTGCTGCTGCTGCTCTTGCGGTTGTTGCTGTTCGTGTTGCTGTTGCTGCTGCTCCTGCTGCAGCTGTTCGCACTGTTGCTGCAGCTGCTGTTTTTGCAGTTTTTCTTCTTCATATTGTTGCTGCTGCTGTTCTTGCTGCTGCTGCTGCTCCTGCGTGTGCTGCTGCTGCTGTTGCTGCTCCTGCGGCTGCTGCTGCTGCTGTTGCTGCTCCTTTGGCTTCTGCTGCTGCTGCTCCTGCGTCTGCTGCTGCTGCTGCTGCGCCTGCGTCTGCTGCTGCTGCCCGTGCTGCAGTTTGTTGCTGTCATAGGGTTGCATGCCTGTGTGTTGAAATGCATCTGCTGCTGTTTTCCGTTGTTGCTGCTGCAGCACAAAAAACAAAAAAAAAGAAAAAAAAAAACCTCAATATCTATTGTGTGTTGCTGCAGCAGCAGCAACACAGAGCGAGAAGAAAAAAAAAAAAAGAAAAAAAAAGAAAAAAAAAGAAAAAAGTTAGTATAAATCAAAGCCCCAAACCCCCCTCACCCCCGCATGCATGCATGCATGCATCGCCGGCTCCCCGTCGCCCTCAGCGGCCCCTAAACCGCTGCAGCAGTCCCTACAGCCACATGCATGCAGCAGCTAGCAGCAGTGCATGCGCTGCTGCTTCTGTTTCTCTCTTTCTCTCTATTTATATTTGTGTATATATTTGTATATCTATCTACTTCTCTCTCTCTGTCTCTATGTTTATTTGTCTCTCTTTTTTTATTTTTTTGTTTTTGTTTTTATCTATATATCTATCGTCTCTTTCTCTATCTCTCTCTCTGTCTCCTTCTCTGCTTTTGTTTTTTTTTTTTTTTCTCTCTCTATCTATCTCCCCCTCTGTCTCTCTCCCCCTAACACCAGTCATTCCTATTCATTCTTCCTGCTGCTGCTGCTGCTGCTGCTGCTGCTGCTGCTGCTGCAGCTGCAGCAGCAACTGCTGCAGCAGCATCAGAGTGTCTCTCACCTCTTCGGGTTGGAGCTGCGGCTGGCTGGGATTTGCCGTTCTGTCTGTTGCTGCTGCTGCTGCTGCTGCTGCTGCTGTTGCTGTTGCTGCTGCTGCTGCAGCTGCTCTCGCTTCTTCCTTTCTGGCTGCTGCAAACAACAAAGACATCCACAAACAAATCTGCATTTTTGTTTTTTCTTTTTTTGCTTTTTTTGCCTCTACCGCATTTGCTTCTATTACTGTTGTATTTTCCCTGTTTTGTTTTTGTTTTTATTTATTTTATTTATTTTATTTATTTATTTTATTTTATTTTATTTATTTATTTGCCCGCTGTTGTGTGATGCAGTTGTATGTCCACTGCAGCAGCAGCAGCTGCATGTAAACTGCAGCAGCAGCAGCTGTATGTACACTGCAGCAGCAGCAGCTGCATGTCCACTGCAGCAGCATCAGCTGTATGTACACTGCAGCAGCAACAAGGATATTTAATTGAGGGGAGGGAAGAGGAAGCAGCTACAGCAACAAACAAACAAAAGACAGAGACATCGTCCTTACATAAGTTGCCGATCCTGCTGCTGCTGCTGTTGCTGCTGTTGCTGCTGTTGCTGCTGCTGCTGCTGCGATGCGGCACCACTTCGCCAAGCCGCTGCCACCTAGGAAGAGGAGAGGGTCCAGCTCCGAGGATCGCCTGCATGCAAAAAAAAAAGAAATAAATAAAAATAAAAAAAAATAAATAAATAAAAAGAGAGAAATAAACAACAACATAAAGAAACAAACAAACAAAAAAAATAAATATAAACAAACAGAAAAAAAATAAAATTATATAAACAAACAACAACACAAAGAACAACACGCGGGGCTCTACGTCGCCCGCCAGCTAGTGCTCCTGCATCAGCAGTAGCTGCTGCAGCAGCATCAGCAGCAACAGCAGCAGTAGCAGCAGCAACAGCAACCGCAGCACCAGTAACAGCAACAGCACCAGCAGCAGCAGCAGCAGCAGCAGCAACAGCAGCAGCAGCAACAGCAGCAGCACCAGCAGCAACAGCACCAGCAGCAGCAGCAGCAGCAGCAACAGCAGCAGCAGCAAAAAAATTATATTAGTATTGTGCTTGCCTGCTTGATTCGTTTGTTTTCATCGTCGAGCATTTCTTTTGTTTTTCGTAGACTTTCGTTTGCTGCTTCCACTTGCTGCAGCTTTGCGGTGTACATACACCTGGGGGAGGGGGGGGCTTCAGCGTTGTTTGTGTGTGTTTTGTTGTTTATACAGAGCGGAGCCAGCTCCTGCTGCAGTGCATGCATGGGGGGGGCCCCCCCAAGGGGCCCCCCTGGCTGCTGCTGCTGCTGTTGCTGCTGCTGCTGCTGCTGCTGCTGCAGAGAAGCAGCAGAAGCAGCTAACGAAGAGAAAGCAGGAGACAGTGCTGCAGCTGCTGCTGCAGGAGAAGAAACA